TCACCGAGCTTGTTTTTGAGTCATAAGCAGTTAAAGCTAAAATTAAGTGTGTTTTTAACAGTTCATACTGTTGCTATGGTAACCTATTGTGCCACGAAAATGACACTAACATGTTCACCAGTGATTGGGCAGTATTTCTGCGTCTTGGAAAGTGCTAGAAACTGTTTTGAGCCACCTTAACTACAAGTGAATTAAACAATTTACTGCAATTTCATAGTGTTTGATTGATCTAGTTACGAAATTGTGATCAAAAATCCCCGGCATTACTGAAACCACCAAGAACCTCACCTCAAACAACAGGAAATTTAAGTTCAAAGTTCGGCGAAAGAAAAATGCGAGAAGCGCGAGACTGTCTTCCCCTAAGTAGACCTAACAGAGTCACGTATTCAAGCAAAATACATTGCATGATCCTAATTTGAAAATAATGTTTTTAATCGAGTGAGGTTTCGTGGTCAGCCACCATTGATAATCAATCAAACAAATCGATGAGACATGCCAACATGGTTTTGAAAAATTAACAACCATATCATTTACTAACAACTACCGAGTTTACGTTATGTAATACAACAATTGCAGATGACTTCTGGATTCTGATGGGTCAACAACAATTAGCCCTGTTCACCGGTTATTGAAAGCAATGAAATATAAACCTGCATGGTAAAACTATCGTCTTGTATTTTTTAGGAAAATCCGTGACTAACAGTACTTTTAGCCACGCAACCGGTGTATGGTTATTGGCGAACTGATGAAGAAAGGAAAACAAGAGTTAAGGGAGGGGGGTGGAGTGCACGTGTAGTGTAGATTCGTGCGACGGAAACCGACAGTTGCGATGAGACGCCAGACTGGAGCGCCAACACCACACGCCACTGTTTACAAAACCAAAGCCCGTGTTGAAACAGGATGAAATGGTATGCGGTTTTACATATAACGTCCCTTGTCTTGACTTTAACTCCTGGTTGATTGTGGCAAAACACTACATATCTGGTTGTTCTTACAAATATAGTTTAAAACGAGCTTAAGTCAAAAATAAATATTTAGCAAGGCCATTTACTAGTTATGACCTGTATTTAACGCTATACGAATGTCTCTTTGTAAATTGGATTATATGTCTATTTGTATGGTGCATGTTTAAAGCTTTGTAGACTTGTACGCAGTCACGTTGCTGTTAGCAACTAGTAACGATGTTGCTATTAGCATATTGTAACGGTAGCATTTTTCATTTTCTATTGTGTAAGCATATTTGCCAAGAAACTGTTTTATGCGCTATTATTGCGAGCTTCAACATTTCTTACCTCACCCCTCCCTTAAGAAGAAAAAATGAGGAACCTTAAAGAGAAGGAAGCTATTAGTAGGTAACAACAACGTGACATCGAACATCAGCAATGATACCACTTTTGAAAATGCTAAAACATAAATCAGCAATAGCGGCAACATTTGTACGTGCTAATACCATACTTCCCGCTTTAATGAAACGCCTTGCAGCGAATGAATCGCAGAAGTCGTTGGGGCTATAAAAACAGTCAAGCAAACACAGCGAACTCAGACCTGAATTGACGCGGATCACCTCAGACAAGGCTGATCAGTTCAACCACAGACATCAGAAATGCCGTCACAGTACTTTGTAGCGACGATCTGTCTTCTCGCTCTTCTAACAGGCCACAGTTTAGCAGGAGAAATAAGGGGAAGCCAACTCCAGAACCTGACGCTCAATATTACGAATGTAAGTGAAAAATCATTTTTTCAGTCCTAATTAACGTCTTGCAAACAACATCAGTGCCCGGTTTTCGTGCCCGGTTCGTGGTAAAGAAAGAGAGGTCTCAGTTTTTCTGATCTTTACGGATTTTTACTAAGCAAGTTGTTCAGTTATTATTTGTTAGCTGCGTCTCATGCTTAGCGTACGTGCCGGCCGAACAAGCAAGCATTCCCTTAGCTCTCAAAGAAGTAAAAGTAATGTTTTTGGGAAAGAAAAATAGCATGCAGCAAAATATTCAAACTTTCATCGGTATAGGTTGTGCCCCTTTTCTGATACCTTTTAAGTGTAGCACTAAATGTCTGTATCGTAACACCCTTGCAGCGTTTCAAAATGTGCCAGCCTCCGAGGAGACGGCAAAGAAATTGATAACGAATTTCCTTCGCATTCCTTTGTCCCACTTGAGTCGCAATCCAAGGCTTCGACGGAGCACCATCAAAGAAGATATTGTGGTTATTTGGATGGCTCAGGCTCAATTAAGAACTGTAATTTCGACAAAGCAAAACAAGCTTTGAAAAACATGTTGGCCTTGGGATTGGAAGCGGGATACGACAACAAGTATGCGGCTGTGTCATTTGGAGACAGCGCAATGACCAACTTCGACTTCAAAGCCTATCCAGAAGCAGGGAGGCTCATAAAGCAGATTCCTTACTTAAGTGGAAGCACTAACACTCAGGCTGGGCTGAAGGAAGCGAAAAAGGTGTTTGAAGATCCCGCATCAGGTATGCACATGTTTTGGTTAACCAGCTCAGTTCAATCTGCACGGTATTATGTGAAGTTTGCTTTACATATACGAGAGTATCATAGAATGCTATCATGAAAACGTAACAGATGAATCAGAGAGCAAAATAAAAATGAAAAAAGAAAAAAAGAAAGTGTTGCAACAATATCAAGGGCAAGAATAGCACGGAATAACCAACTCGGCAAAACTTCCCGGAGAAACAAATCAGACGTTATAGAGGAGAAGTTCTAATTGCTTTTACTTGTTAAATGTATGTTTTAACTGCTTTAGTATTCCAATATCCATTCTCAAGATTTGAAAAAGTGCTTTGGCAATACCTCTTCAACTGGTTTGTAATTTCTATTTTCTACTGATACAGTTCCTGACCAGTTAAAGTTGCTAGAGCAGTTTCATTTCACAAAAAAGGTCCACTTGTCTAGTCTGCAACTTTAGACGCATTTCGTTGCTTTTCATATTTCCATAGTTTGGTTTTAGATCAAAACATTCAGCTGCCCAAGCTCTTCTTCTTTGACTGATGAGATTCAAAGATCAATTAATAAAACATCTCCTGTACTGGTATCTTCTTAGATCTTTGTCATTTGATACAGTTGACCATAAAATGCTACTAACTAACTTGGAGTATTATGGCCGTACGAGGTGTTGCGAATGATTGGTTTGCATCTTTTTTACTTTACAGAAAACAGTTTGTCTCTTTATCTGGTACTAATTCTGATTACGAAACTATGACATTTGGTGTGCCACAGGGGTCAGTTCTCAGACCACTTCTATTCTATTATACGTTGAATTATAATTAATATTCGGTTTGCAGCTGTAAAAGTTTGAAATAAGCTTTTTGTATTAAGCACCTCCCCCTAAAAAGTTAAGCTTAACAAAAACAAAGTTAAACTTAACATCTTACAATCCCATTGCCTATATTCACGAGTTTTCATCTGGTACTTACTAGTAATCTATTTATTACTAATTTACTTTACTAATTTACTACTACTAATTTGCGATTTCTAGGTATTTAGTAATTTACTGATTTATTCCGCTCTCTTATTTATTATTTTTTCTTCTTTCCCTTATTTTGTCTCCTTACTGCTCCCCACCTTTTCACTTTTACTGCCAACCGACTTCTTTAAATAAATACTATTTAATTTCACTCAGCTCAATTAGCTTTTAAGTCATCCAACTTTCTCTTTCTATTATTTTTTTGTTAGTAAGAGCCTTTAAGAGTTTTCTTGTTTGTTTTTTTTTTTTTGTAGCTAAGAGTTTTTAGAACAATTCAGACCAACTAAACTGTTTTAACTAAATCAAGTTAAGGTTTTTCCAATTTTGTCGATTTCTCCTTGCAGTCATTTTTAGAGGAAAAACTTCAAACCACCTTGCTAACGTGTTTTATTCAAACAGGTTTATTCCTTGTTGAAGTGTGGGTGTATAGTATATATGGAATGAGCAACTAAATTTTAACCTTGTTTAGTAAAACCACCTTTAACTGAACATATTTAACAGGTTGGTGTGAACGGGGTATTGATAGAGTAACTGAGTGTGTGTTGTTGTGTTGAAAGGAAAACGTCGTGGCGTGACCAAGATTGCTTTCCTTGTCACTGATGGGAGGTCCAACATCGAGTCTGACAAGACCATACCCAACGCCAACTTACTGAAGAGCTCTGGCGTGGAGATTTTCGTGGTTGCTGTTGGTAACTACATTTCAGGAATCGATGAAATCGTGAAGGTAGCTTCACCCGATCGCGAGAAACACGTGTTCCGTGTAGCTGACATGTCGGGATTCCTAGATGTTACCAAATTGGCTTATGACTTGGTCGCTCCTGGCAAGTACCAGGTTGTTGCAGGCCAGTATCAGCCCCTTTGTTAATCAGAACGGTGCTTACTCGGTTGCCGTGGCCGCGAAAATTAAATCAGTAACAAAATTAATTAACTTTGAGTTTTTGAAATGAAACAACGAGTTTGCGAATGATTGACCTGTAGGGGTTAAATGCCTTAAATATAACACTGATAAGAACCCAATTTCTAGGTCTTAGGCATGACTACGTCACACGCTCAAAATTCACCAGTGAGTCTCGCTTTCGAGAAATTTTCAGAAACCTCTGTCCCTCAGTTCGTGTTGTTTTCATGAGGGTATTTTTTTCATCTTTCCTGCTTTGGGAATTTGTGCATGATAAAATTTGCAATTTGCATTTTCAAAGCGAGGCTTGGTGGTGAAATCTGCTTGCCTGATGTCATCATGCATAAGGGCTATTGAGTTTTCTTCTCATATGTTATTAGATGCGATTATTACGCAAAGTTAAGAATTACTTTTCTGGATACCAAGCAGATAGGTACTCTGGGAACTTTTTGATGAGAGTGGGTTGTATGTCTTAAAACCCTAACCCTATTTCTGAAAGTTTCTGACCAAAATATGTGATTTCCGAAATCCTATATCACACCGCTAAATCAATTGGCATGCTCGTCTCTAATACATAGCCTCCAGTAACCCGGGTGGCTTCCATCTACATAAAAATTTGAGAAGGGCTTCAGATTACTCAATTTTGAATGGGGAAAATAAAGTTTCATTCTCAATTCCAGGCCACAGCGCAAAACATACTCTATCTCAGACCTGAACGGTTTCAAGCCATTCTCTTTTGCGCAACACACACCTATGTAGCTTACATAAA